AACGGAGGTAGGAACGCCGTTTACGCGTTACTCGTAACTATTGTTTCGTGGATATATGGGTGACTCCCATTACCCGCTGACTCCCATTACCCTACTCTCCCCTATCAGTGCGAAACTTTATTGTTTCAATGTACCTAGCAAAAAATACCATCAAAACAAGACTTTTACTTCGGTAAAGTATAAATAATTGACGTTTAACGAATATTACTTTGCATAAGTAAGTGAGAAGCATTTAAAGAGGAGAAAGGAGACGNTTTTTGCACTTTTATTGCGATTCATTTAGATTGTGCGGTGTGTATCAGTGCGAAACTTTATTGTTTCAATGTGGCTAGCAAAAAATACCATCAAAACAAGACTTTTACTTCGGTAAAGTATAAATAATTGACGTTTAACGAATATTACTTTGCATAAGTAAGTGAGAAGCATTTAAAGAGGAGAAAGGAGACGATTACTTCGTTCAGTTACGTATTACTATTTAAAGAGGAGAAAGGAGACGATGAGAGATGAAACAAAGCAATTGGATCGTTGTGATGTAAATGATGCAAACGAAAAATGCATTTTTGTATAGAAATTGAGTGGAAAGTAGAAGCTAACGGAACAGGTTAAGTTTTATAAGCTAAAATCGGTTGCCAGAGACTTAAAATGCTTGAAAACATGGAGAAAGGAAATGTTCTTCGGTCTTGACAGGTTTCAAGGCACTAGTAATACACTTGAGAGCTTGAATTATGTTTCCAGACATCCGATACTTTACTATTTTCCTTCAAAACATATTTTTTCACATGTAACGTGATAACCATAAATTTTAAGTAAAATTTTAGTGTTTTTAGTGTTTGGTTCACATCTAAATTCTCCCATGACAACAATATGAAAATATACAATGTAATTATTTTATCCGCAGTTGAAATTTTTGTTTTCTGCGCTATTGTTATGTTGTTTATCGCTATTACTCGATTTACTGTAGTCGTGCTACACGTGTAATCGATGTTTAAATTGCCGATAGTTGGAAAACACATCACGAACTCTATAAATTGTTCTATTGTTTATATTGTATGTGTAATTGAATTAATTTAATATTGTTTTGGATGTTTGCGTGTTTGTAACACTTTGTAGAGTGTTTTACTTTGGTGTATGTATGGTTGCCTACACGCAGTGAGAAAGTAACCTCACAATATGATTCAACACACAGTTTTGTTCACGTTGTTAAATTAAAGTTTAAACGATGAAAAACAATCGAATGAAATCTGTAAGTTGTATAAGTTTATAAACATTTAAATAATCTTCGATTTGATATATAATTCAGCATGTTTGCTGGTTTTAATTAAATTTTATCCGTTAGAATTTGAAATGGAAAAAATCGTAATGAACATAACCTCAAAACGACAAATGGAAATTTGGCGGAGCCGGTTTTACCACTCCGCTGCACGCTGTATATGCCCGTGACTGAACTTCTTCTACGAATCGTGTGCCCCGAGTTCAACTCGGCTTAAGTAATATCGGATTATCGAGACACGACCGCGCGTCGCTCCGACGCTGCGAGAAAGAAGGTGACTCAACCTGCGATTCGCGCTTACCTATGCACGTAAACGAAAAGCTGTTGCTATTGTTGCTCCACCTTCGACACGACATTTCCATATTTTATCACTGCACTGAATCACTTTTAGTCAAATTCGCACGCGCACAACACTATGCTAATTCACACTCATCACATGATTTATTTCTGATAAATTTTTAGTTTTTATTGCACTGAAAATAACAACACATTACAGCAATGAATCACGATTGTAATTAATCGATGGTATTTACAATTACACCACACGTTGCCAAGGAAACGCACGGATTATTTGTTGGCAACACCCACGCACACGAGATCCGACGCCAACAAAACCAACAAAACGCGCTAATGTAATTATCGGCGGACGGCGCGACTCGCCCCCTAAATGAACGCACGAAGAGAATACAAAAAAGTTGCTACCTGCGCGCTCGACGGACAGGTAGATAATGGCTGCTCGGGCGCAGGTGGAACGATGCGCGGCGCTACGCTTTGTAAACGCGAGCGAAAAGCTACCGGAATCGTCGGAGTGCAACTGAGCGCAGTGAGCGCACTGAGAACTAGTTACACTCGTCAAAGACTACTCCGGGTAGTATAGTTGTTGCGGTAAATTAAGTTTACGCCCAAGGTTCGTAAACTCGCCGCTCGAAAGTTGTCTAAAGGCGCCACATGCCGGACGCGCATTTCATCAGTACTATTATCAACCAATCAGAAGCGCTTTTATTTAATTTTACTTTAATATAAATATTTCGCGTGAATTTTATGTTGTTATGATGAAATAATAACATTTATGATGTTTTTAAGCAGTATTTTAATAATTTGCGTGAAAATAACGCAAAAATATTGAAAATTTGGTTCGAAAATGTCACTTGTCTAACATCATAACCTCTGTGACCTTCGCATTCATCTCGTATCTCTGCCGCAGTTGTCAACCGGGTCCATAAATATTTACCGTGCATAAAATGTGAGAAATGTTCTCGGGAAGTGATTCCACCGAGTCGCAGAACTACACGCAATGGCCCCTGAATGCGTCCGCGTATCAGAGCATGCAGAACGAGCAAGTCGACTGGGCGGCGTTGGCCCATCAATGGATCAAGATGAAGGAGGCAGGGCCGCCGCTTCCGGACAAGTTGCTGACGGCGCCGCCTCCGCCGGTGATCAGCACGCCGTCGACAACCAAAGGCGAAGCGCCCATGGACGTTGAAAACGACTCAGACTCGAATAACATGGGTTCTGATTCGAATGATGGTCCAAACTGGAGCAGCCAACAACAACAAGCACCTAATAATTGGAATTCATGGGGTGGCAGTGCTTGGCCACCTACCATTTCGTCTTTACCTATGAATAAAGCACCTTTGCTTCCAACTCCTGCTTATAATGCTTATACAACAAGTACAACTTCAAAAGACGAGCAATTTAGGTAAAAAATTTTGTTTCAATGTCAATAAATACATAATTAATACGTAATTAATTGTTTAGTAGTGGTAATACAGGATATTGGTCTGGAAATGGCAGCCCGAATGCACGATCTTCTTCAGCAGCGCCTAGAATAATGAAACCGCATAACAAACGCTTTAGTAAAGTGAATATTCCGCTTAAAACAGCCCCACATCCACCACATCTAACTTCGAGTGTGAATACCTAAGTGTTAAAATATTATATGATATTCTCATATAAGAAGGCACCTATTCTTTTTTGATCAAGACATTCGCAAATTTGATGATAGAATGTTGATTAAGACATAATTCAATCCTTTCAAGAAATTTCCGAGGATCATGGCTTTGTGCGTTCCGATCCCGATGAGGCTGCTTGTATTGATGTAAGGAAAAAAAAACGGTACCTCTTTGTATCGCGAAACATTTAACACCAATAAGCTGTTCACACCATAAATTGTTATAAAATTCCATGTAATGCTCGTTCACTCAACAAAGAACCAAAAGAACTCAAGTTGGTGATCAGCAGATGACTTCTAAAGCTGGCGCAAGAACTAGTTATTTATAATGTGCCATTAGGCAATCACAAAAAAAGATGACACCAAATTTGTGGTACCAATTAGTCTGCTCGTTTGTGGTACAAATTTGTTGCATGTCATGAATTATGTTTAGTATTAAATTAATGATGCAGAATTATAAAATTATATCTTATCAAAGTTTGAGTGTTAATAATTTAAAAACATAATTAATTTTTGCATAAACAAAAATATCATAAATCAAATTAATGTATCAAGACTTCCATAACAAGTGTTTGTAAAATAGATTCATAAATACCTAGGATATTCTACGTTCTACAGCAACCACTCTACAAGACTGCTAAGCCGCGACAAAACAATAAAAATCATTGCAATATCTGTCAAGTCGGGGGTGGAAAACTATTTTGACCATTTTGCATCTAATCAGCATACAGCATATAATAAATGCAAATATGAGACGGTTCGTGTGTTTGTAACGCTTTCACGGAAAAACCACTAAACTAACGTTGATATCATTTTGTGTAGAGTTTTTTTTATCTAAGGAATAAATTCCAGAATATAACTTGAAGAGTAAAAAATACGGGACGAAAGTTTTAGGATTAATTAGGACAATTTTTATTAAAATATACGCGGATATTAGCGGGATAAGTGCTGAAAACTGCTATTTGAGAGGGAAAAAAATAAAACATCATATTTCCATTACATCAAACAAAACTTCAACTTTAATCAAATCGATAGTAACATTTTAACTGCCTGATACTAAAATATTATCAATGAAAACATTAAAATAACTCAAATTTTTGTAATGTGTATGTAGCAAGTGCTATTATGAGATAAAATCAATGAAACTGATACATAAAAAGTTGTTTTTCAATCACATCAAGCCATCAATAGTTCCATCAATCAAAGAGCCAAGTGCTCGCGAAATAATCATAAGCTCGCTAATAAACTACCGAACCCAGTAATTTTTAATTCAAATGTCAATCCAACAACGCTTCTTGCTTCTTGATTAAACCGTATGATTGATCATTTGGTTATTATTTGCTATAATCCAACTCCTTCAAACTTCCATACGCCTAATTTCTTATTATCTGGATGTAATAGAATATCACACGTAACATATACATTTTGATGTAGTTTACTATAACATAAATACAGTTAACTCGCCGAATTCGTGTACAAAAGGTGTTCGATGGAAGGCTTCACTAGTTTGCGACGTAATGTCACAAATAACAGTTGCGAATTATTTGCAGTTAGTCATCATCGCATACTTATTAAACGTCGTTTTTTACAGCGCAACGCGTTCGTGGTTATTGTGGTCGATACAATTATGGGTTCTGTGCCATGTACCAATAAAAACAAACATCTATTAAACAAGAAATGCGAGGAATGCCTAAAAGAAGTAATTAGTGTTTTATGATTGACCAAGTATGATGGAATCTTGTGTTAACTAAGTACCTAAATTGTTGGCACTTGGCACAAAAGATGCGCAATCAGAGTTAAAACTAACTACGTGTAGCAATAATCGACGTAATAAATGAATCAAGACTGTTGTAAAAGCATTTCGGTAAGAACCTGCTAAGTGCGTGCGCGCTTCTAGCCACATATCTGGAAATTAGCGCTGGAGATTTTAACGTACAACTTGAAGAGGCTTTAATTAGCAGTTTGTGTTAATCTCGACGCTCAAAGTCAAGTTTAATCAACTCTAACTGTTCAATTAAACCTAAATCTTACATGATATTTACATAAATCAATCGTCGAAAAATAAATATTGTGCAATTTCCTCGTTTAAATAAATTTTGTCAACGTCTTCTTCAACTTCAATATATTCTTTCGAAATACACACTTGAGATGTGTTTGTGGTTTAAAGCAAACACGCGACGCACACGAAAAAGTTGAACAAATACATAAGTCGTATGTGAAAAAAGAAGAGGAGCAAGAAGAAGACGACGAGTTCGTGTATGGTAGCAACAAATGGTTGAAAAGTGCGTGCGCGTTGAACTTGACATTGCGAGGACCGTGAGCCGCGAGCATCCTTGCTCTTGCTCTAGTGCTAGACGTCGGAGGTGATCTCGGAAGACGCGGCCGCCAGACGTAGGACGGAGGAGGAGAGGTAGGAGTATAAAGACCTCGGCGGGACCCAGCGGCGAAGAAGTGCCAAGGCGACTTTGCAATCCGCTGGCAGTGTCAAGTGCAAGTACATATTCACATACGTTCGGGTACCACAGGTGTAAGCGAATTCCGAGATTTACTACCGTTTAAGGTATAATTATCAGCAAATTTTCAGGTAAAATCAAATTAATATTAAAGATTAAAGAGAAGAAGAAGAATTTTTAGTTATTAACAGTACATTTCGAAAATTTTTTTTAATATTAATTCAATTAATTATTTAAATTTGAATTTTTATAATACCGTTATCGGATTGGTTTCGAACAAAATCAATTTAACATTTAGATGTAAATGAGTTTCTGCGCAGAAAAAAATAGATTATCAGGTTAGATAATTACTTATTCAGCGCGAGTAGCCGCCCGACGTTTCTGTATGCCATAACTTCGTATTAATTTCTTTTGATTTGTTTATACCTTCGTGTTTCGTGCGCCCACTTAACATGAGCCGCATTAACCAGCGCGGCGTGATTGCCAATGAAGTTATTTTATCATTAAGCCGCAGTTATTTCATGCGCACCACTTGTTTTGTGCTGAATCTTTTTTCTTGCATGTTGCAGCAGGTCGCGAGACAAACGGCCCAAGAATGTCACGCGTGTGGTTGGCTGCACCGGCGATGCTCGTCTTCGCCTCCATGTTGCTGTCGGTTTCCGGTTTTGGCAGTAATGAAGATAAATTCATCAAGAGATATGCGATGATGAAGGTAAGATATTTTAAGTGAATTCCAATTGTAATTTCAAAACTAATTAATTAATGGCTACATGAAATTGCACACAAAGCGTGTACTCATAAATTTAAAATTTGCTAGTGCCTTCGTGCAAAGAGTAAATAATGGTAGAGCTTTTATCAATTCACGCATTACTGTTTTATTGATAAAAACTCCAAGCGGAGCACAATCCCGATGTCGCGGCAATAATTTATTTAAATAAATTAAACTTTAAAAATACTAAAACACTACAAATATTTCATTTTTTTAAATATTATTTTGGAGTATTCGAAGAAAATATCTTATCACATTTTGGAGAGGTGTAGTTACATGGAGGAACAAAATAGTAACCAAATATTGGAATTTCATCTAGCAAGTTGAACAAATTTCGCTGTTATAAAGAATGTGTCGTTATATTGAGTCACATTAGAAAGAAGATATGCTGCATTTTGACCACTTTAGAATTCCAAAGTAATTTATTACTTAAAAAAACTGATTCGCAACGCATGGATTTAATTTCATTATTTTTTGTCTCCTCGCACGCGAAAATATACCGTTTCGCAAATAATTTCAAACGCGCGGACAAATTCCCCATTCGCACTAGGTGGCTAAACATGTTTGGCAAACACGTTCCGTTCACTCGTCTGCTTTTTACTCGGCAAATACGCTAGTACCGTTAACAACTAATAATTTTATTACTCATATTCAGAGATCAAACAAAACTTGCAATTGTACTCAATTAGCCATGAAGAAAGACGACTGCCAGTAATTTATCAAAATCAATTTGTAATAATCACTCACAAAAAACTAACAATCAAATTTGAACTTGTTACTTTATAAGCATTGTTAATAATATGTTTTTTATTTTATTTTAAAAGATTTACGAGAGTTGCTTTGGTCCTGAAGTGGTGAAACAAGTCCGTAAAGAAATGAAAGCAGCTTGTGCAAAGTGTGCAACTTATGAACAACCACAGCCGACCGCACAAGCATTACCCCGGCCTCCGCCACCACCTCATGGCAGTTACGACAACCGGGAACCGCAGATACCACCGCAAATCGCTGATCCCGAGAATACTATGTATGCCAATCAACAAACTATTGATCCAGAGAAACTACAACAGGCTATTCTATCTTACAGACCACTCAATGTAAGAACTTAAATATTTAACTGTCTAGTTTTCTTTAATTATTGTTTGTGCACTAGAATCCATTTGCGGCTGCCGCGCAATATCGGCCGTACCAACAGCCCAACTACTTCGGAGGATATCCCCAGGCCCCCGTTGCTGTGCCATATGTATATCCAGGATATCAACCACAAGCATTTCCATCACAATCATACTCTAGCTTCCCATACTTTGGACCACAATATTATTCCAGCAACCGCGTTTCGGTAGGTTGAAATTTATAGAATTCAAAGCAACATTCTGGTCTAATAAAATGGCGAATTTATTATAGCGCGACATGGATATCAGAAACCAACTTGATGCTATCACATCCCGCACTAGTGGTAAAGTGCGCAATGTAACATGCGTCATGCAGGAACTTGGTTATTTGGACGAAAACCTAGAACCTAACTTTGAAAAGATCTCAGAGCGAATTGGAAATTTGCCCGTGTCAGATGAACTTAAACGTGATATGCAAGATGGTGTTGTTTTCTGCCAACAATTTTCGGTCAGTAGTTAACAAAATAATTGTAGGAAGTTTAATAATTTATCATGTAAAATTATAGCAATGTATCCCTGATGTGAAAAAAGAACGCTCACCGCTCTCACGAGAGCTTGTCCGCCCAATGTTCTTCTTCAAGTGTTATAAGCACAAGAAGCTGGAAGCTTGTATCATGAAAGACGTACGTGAGAAGTACGCTGGCGTCGCCGACGAAGATTTTGATGGCGATGGCGTTGAGTTCAGACGCACAGGTCGTGCAACTAAGGAAACCCCTGACGAAGTTGATCAGTTAGCATCCTCTATCTACGAATTCCTGTACGGTAGCGATCATACCGTCGACATCGATAGCGTTTTGTAAACGTGTAAAACTTGAGGTACTTGTGGCAATTTTACGGCGAGGATGGGAGATCGAAAAACACGATATTAACATTAGCAAGCGTTATTAAGCGCTCAGAGGCAAATCGATTAACGCTCGTAAGCGTTTTAAAATAATTTTACAGTGCCTTCAGGTCATATAATTTATGCGTCGTTAATCATTGCGCTTAAAAAGTACGCATGAAACTAAATGAAAAGAACGTTGCTCTTTAAATCCCCACAAAAGTAATCAGATAGTGTCAATCATTCGATTTTTATTTTAATTTTATGATTTTATGTAACATAATTTATTGTCGCTGAGTATTATATAGTTGTAGAATGTGATGACTTTGAATTTTAGCAAAGGAATTTGTGCAATTATTGATTTTATTGCTAAAATTTGAATTTTTATGATTTCTTGTATGAGAATGGTATTTTTAATAAATGGGAGTTGTACTACACATTGATTAATTTATTTTCGAGCATTACAGTTAGTTAAAATGGTAAAAGCTAACTGAAACTTTAGAATACATAAAAACTTAATAATTGATTTTCTATAGCATTATCTCAACTGTAACAAATATTCTTGTGTAATAGTTTAAAATGGGATTATACTGAAGAAAATGTCAACAATATATTAACAAGGGCATTATTGTATTATTTAAAGAGAAATGTGTTGCTTGCATTGCACAAACAAGTTTCATTTTCTAAAAATAATACAATAGTACAAAAATAGTACAATCAAACCTGGAATGTGCATTATAAGGAACAAATTGCTCAACAATCAATTCACAGTAATAGGATAGTTTACTAATAGATCCATTAATTTCAATTATTGAGTATATATCTTTCTACTAATATGTGTCAACGTGCTAAGAGTTGAATACACCAACATTGATTATGAGGCTTCACACATTAATTATTTGGCTAATACTCTAGATATGCAATTACATCAAAATTTATATTTCATCTTATTAGGTGATAATTAATAAGCAACTGTGTCTTGCTTTACTTTGGTAGTAACAAGTTTTGAAACTTATTTTCTTGGGATATCATTTTGATTGATTCTAGAGACGTAATAGTTCCTATATTCTACAATTCAATGTTTGTCTTCTAAAACATCGAACATCAAAACCCTATAATCTCTAACATCAACGATTACATGATAACAAATACAACATTTACGATTATAAATAGACATTCAAAGGGGTATAATAGAAACTTTAAAATATCACAACATACAAGCCAAGCTTAGAAGGTTCATAGATTAGGTATTCTGCAGTAATTAGCATACTTTTACTTCATCAAACTATCGTTATTTCCTATTTCCTATCCTACGTTTTTTTATTGATTTGATATTTGACTCAAAGTTTATTTTTGATATTTAGCTAGATATGCTCAATATTGTGATCATACATTTTAATTCTCATTGAGATGATTGTTAGAAATGATGTGATTATAATATTTTACGGACGTATTGATGTCGTTTCATTTGAAACAATTATTGTCATAGTCACGTATAATCTTCGTAAATGGGTAAAAACTTTAAAAGTCGATATTCACTGAAATACATATAACTTCTTTGTGTGTGTATACGTTGTTCAAGATTTTCTTAAAACTAATTATTGTTTGCATTATTGTCATCTCATATTACAGAACATTTATCACATTTACTCAACAGCTAATAGATTGTTGCTTCATTTCGACAGATTTCATCGAAGATGAATGTGTAGTTATTGTCATTGTAATTTGATTAGAGTATAAGTTAATTTTCATTTACGGGACAATCACAAGCCAATATAATAGCTCTAAAGAATATAATCCCGAAATATTTAAAATACGCTTTGAGATATTTTCCATTAAGTACTTGTGTATAGCGATCTATGCGTTTAGAATTTGTCTAATGCCAAATTTCAATCAGTTCATCGTTTCGCTCCACTTTATATGTCAATAGCTTGGCGTATTTCCTAAGTAGTTTGTGCCAGAAACAATTGACATCTTTCATGCGCAAATGGTTCCATATCATGTTAAAACCGTTTTCGGCAATCTCCTTAGCTAATTCGTCGTGCTCCCTGACAAATTCGATAAGCTCTTTTAATGTTTTCATTGTTGACTTAGGATCTACAGGAATATAGTGGACCCATGGCTTTAAGGACGGATAGAAAAATTCAAGCCATTCGTCACCGACGTGAAATACCAGCGACTTACACAGCAAAACATGCTTGAATCGAAAACTCGCCGCAACTCCACGGAAATTGAACAAATATTTATAGTTACAATGTTGGTTAAAAGATACTTCCTTGGCTGGCGGTGCATGAAGAGTATCGGCATCGGATTTCCACGCTTGATTTTTAGTGTATTGAGCATCCACTAAATCTGGATGTTCTCGAGAAAGCAGAATCAAAGTGTCGCGTTCACTTGAGGTTCGAGAACCTCTAAAAAATGCCTTTGTCTCTTTCTGCTCCCAATATGTCTTGTTAGCTTCTTTTCCCAACTGTTCCCTGAGCAAGTCCCATCTACCAATGCCCCTAGGAAAGAGTGAAATAGCCGGACCACCTTCCCAAAATGCCCAGGCAGGATACATGATATCGTAAAACTCTGAAGTTTTGCTGAAAGAGAATACAGGCCCAAACAATCCATAATTTTTATTGATTTGTGGCCAGTCTCTCGTATTTATCACAAACTCCATGTTTGGTAGTTTAGGCAATATTTCAAACAAGAAGTGTTCGATTCCCAAGCATCTTGCTGGGAACATGCAGTTTTTGTCTCTGTATATCTTTCCATTCATTATTTGATATCTTGTACCCCTGAAATTATATTTTATTGGTACTAGTACATTAAATTTATATAAAGCACTTACTTTTCCCTTACAGAATCAATTAATTCTTTCGATATGCCACCTTTGAATGGTTTTAAATCATGCGTGATCACTTTTGAGTGACAATTACATTTTGTAGCTTCACATGGATGATAATTGGCTTTTGCTTCAGTAATTTTATTTAAATAAAAACTGTATCGTTCGTTACTCTCTGTAAAATAATAATTTGAAAAACAAAATAATGTCTGGATTAAGCAGATTGAAAGATAGTTGTTTGAGGTTGGATTTGAATTAATCACCACTAGAACACTTGTCATTTACCTTTTGAATATTTATTACTTTCGTTGTTTTCGCTCTTACATTTGTTACCGTTCTTAGCGACACACTGCTCCCTATTACACGAAACGATACCGAAAACACAAACTAAAAGAAATACCAAATTCCAAACGTAAAAAGAGCTCATGATGAACTCATTCTCATGAACCCAACCAACTCGCGATGCGCGACTGGATGTGACACTGGGAGGGGGAATCAAGGTACAGTTCGGTTGTTAACTAGCTTGGGAGTTCATAAAAGAGCGTCTTCGAATCGATTTTTCACTCGACGCCAGGCGCTTTTCATCAGCGCCCGTAAATCGACATCAGCGTATATATCAAAGGGCTAAACGACGCTGTGCAAAGCCCGACTCCGATCCATGGACGATGAGCGATCCACGCTGTGGAAAGCACGAAAAGTGCAACGGAAAACGCGATCGTAAAGCTAGTTGAAGGCGGAATTTCAGCGAGCGCCAAATGCCGCGGTAGTTTCACAGTGAAAGCCCTAATTACTGGTGCTAGAAAAACACTGGCAGCATAAAGGACGAAAACACCCGCGATACGCATTTTCCATGTCTCGAAACGAACATCCGAATGTTCATAATCGAACATTTGTTTAATATTGAACAAGCCGTGTCGTAACAACGCAATCTGGTGATTTTTCGAGGTGGTGAAAGGCACCAAGTTACCGTCTTTTTGCATTGCCACAATGGTCACCGGGTCACCATTATGACCTGCTGAGTAAAACTGAACGCGAATATCTCCGACTTCCGGTTTCCACACGTCATGCGAATGATAATAAATTCCGAGATGCAGTTTGATATCTCTTCTATCCGGTCGCTCGTCGCTGGTCATCTCCTGATAGTCGTTGAATTTATCCTTGATTTCCGATCCTATCGTCAGTTCTCCTACGCGAACAGAAGGCGAGATGTAGATGTGTGACTTGAGCATCATTTCTTTGGGGTTTTGGTGTCCATGCCGTATGTAGAAACTGCTGCTGTCGACAAGCTTATCTCTCCATTCGGTGACGTAGTAATAATCTGAATCATCTCGATTTCGAGCGCTCTCTGAATATTGCGCATCTGTATCCGCATAATTGCTCAACACCCTCTCCTCAACCCATTGAAACATCTGAACGCGACGTTTCAGTTTCACTGCTTGTATTGCGATGGTATACTCCGGTTCGGTTAGGGGTTCATCAATCAGGAGATTTCCACTGATGTGGACTAATCTTCCGTCTAGTTCTGCTTGTACAGGCTCGTAGATGTTCAAAGGGACCACGTTGTTAAAAGCTTCATCCAATGAGTTGCCGTGGTGTACGGCCCGTCCTTCATTCCAAATTAACAACCAGATTCCGCCGACTGTAAGAATTGCGCCCAGAGTGGAGATGACCCATGTTCGTTTGAACTCTTCCTTTACCGAAATCGTCATCTTGCTTTATATTTAAATATTGAATGGTGATTCCGATGGCGTGCGTTATATTCAAAGTTGACGGTCTTTCTAATTCATATTATACGCATGCTCATTGGTCGGTGTACCAACACACAGACGCTGTGAGCTGTATGTGACTCGATTCAAGGCTTTAAAATGTGAAATTACGGACGAAAACAAATCTTGTAAGTATGTATGTCGTACTGTTGTAGTGCACTTTTGTCACAATTAGTTATGCAATTTAGATTTGAACGTTTGTTACTTTTTTATTTGTTTTACTCGGAGGCGCTCCGCACACGAATTTAACCTCAAAACTCTGCAGACTTGAGATGGAAATATCGATTAGATCACGACGAACGAGAACTGCCAATGTACAGGGTCTTACATTGGTTTGCAGTGTAATAAAATTAGATTTGCTTGATGATTCAACATTGTTTTCATAAGAAAAGTTATGAGTTGCAGTTTTTGCGTCTGAAGTACATTGTTATTTGCTGATAATAGGTTGTTGGCTTTTAGTAGGAATTGGTTCGGTTTTGCGCATGTTTCACTGGAAAAATATGTTTTTTGAAAACAAGCCCGCCTGTGAAACATAGGTATCACACATGTAATTGTAATAACTTCCACCATAATCACTTCCTGATGTTAAATATTCCGCAATGACAATAAAATTAGCGTGATCACGTTCGTTCGACTCAAGGTTCTCCTCTTCGCTTTTTATTTGTACGCTGCGCGTCTACCTAGACAACAAGCAGCAATGACAAAAATTAAAATAAACTGTTTGACGACAATTTATTCTACTTAGTTATGCATATGGGTGTTTTTCGGAAAGTTTATACGCGAAACTACGCATTTTTGTAGATTTATACCTGAATTAATTGTGTTAAAAATAGTTGGGCAATTAATACCTTTTTATTGAGATATTTTCCATGTTTGCTACTAAGTTGCTTTTGTTTTGGTCCACAAAATGTAAAGCACTTAAGATTCCGTTCCGTAGCAAATTATCGAAGAAAACAAACACATTTATTTATCAATCCAGAAGCTTCCAATGTTTTTCTTGTTATAAACAAGGTTCAATTATTTACAGGGAAAATGCGAGCGTTGGTGGTGACAATATGGGTCTTCATAAATTTAATATTTTTTGGCATGTGCGGGTACATGTACGTCCTCTGGTCTCAATACTGGATGTACATCGAGAAGGATGTCTACGCAACAACGAACAACTATGAACAACAAATCTATTCCTATAATCGAGGACTGCCACTCAACGACACATCTAAATCTGATCATAGCCACAAAAGCAACAACACCAAACACCACAGTACTCGCGATGTTGACAATGTTACTATTATCAAAAATGCCCGCCCGCGGTTCCCTAATTTACAGGGGGACGACTTCGTGCTGGACACCCAAAAGTATACCTGCCTGTTCAACGACAGTACAAACGAATGTGATAGCAAAATCAAGCAATACAAGGAGAAGATTCTCAACGAGTTGAAGCGGGTGTTCATGGACGAGGGCAACGTCCTCAAGTCAGGGTTGGACAATCAGAACCCATATAACGTGCAATACAAGGGCGCACGTGAGAACCACCTGAATAAAGACCGTGAGGTGCTCATGTGCGAATTCAAGAAAGTCAACGTGAGCACAGCCCGCCGCACACAGGAACCCTTTAGTCGTAACGTGTTCAAAGACTTCATACCAAAACGCGATTTTCTCGAAAATAAGAAGTATAAGACCTGCGCGATTGTTGCAAGTAGTGGTTCGTTGGTGAACTCGCGTCTGGGACACTTCATCGGTAAGAATTAATGAAGTTATTGGTATTTCCAGACTGGAGTTGAACTTTGCACTGGATTTGAATAGCTGCTTTGTTGCAGATAATCACGACGTTGTGTTGCGGTTTAACCATGCGCCCACCGACGGGCATCAGTTGGACGTCGGGCGCAAAACAACAATCCGCATTTTGAACTCACAGGTAGTAAGCAAGGAGCGCTTCAAGTTCTTGGAATCGAAGATCTACAGGAACATCACGATACTGGCGTGGGATCCCAGTAACTATACGTCCACACTGGAGGAATGGTATCAGCATCCTGAACATGACCTTTTCCCCAACTATTTGACCTTTCGCAGACGTAATCCTAAGACGAAGGTGTACCTCCTGAATCCGAAATCGCTGTGGAACTTGTGGGACTTTTTGCAGCACAATTCACCGAGCAGACTGAGACGCAATCCGCCATCTTCCGGTTTTTTAGGTGAGTAATAAATAGTTGCAATTAAATATATAAACAGAGGCAATTTTGTGCTATTGCAGGTTTAGCAGTTCTCTTGCCACATTGTGATATAGTGAATATGTTTGAATACATGCCTTCGAAGCGTGTCACGAAGAAATGTCACTACTACGACACTGAAGACAATCCTGCGTGCACCTTCGGCGTGTGGCATCCATTGGCGGCGGAAAAACTACTTGCGTATAGCCTGAATACTGCCAACGACAAGGCCGTTTTTCACAATGGTTATCTAACGATTCCAGGTTTCGATAAAGTATCCTGCTAGCTTTTTGCATATCTTAAAACGTCTTTTCGATAGTTTTAATTATCAATTACGTACGACATAGTGATCTCAAATGTTTACCAAAGAAAAAAAAAACTTACAATAATGTAATTAATCCTTAAATAAGATTAAAGTATGTATCATAGCGTCGATTCTCTATTGATTAATACACTTTTCTGAAATACTTAACTACGCACATTGTGCATTGTTTTACACTTCCTGTTAACATAACATGATTAACGATGAACGGTGATTAACAATGTGGTTCCCAAAAAGCAGTTCTGTTAACACTTATCAGAAGTTCCATTTGGAAGATAGTGGTATACTTGTGTTTATTAACATGGGTGCGCACCGAATTGTGTAATATTACGCTTACATATTATTAATAAAACAAACATTATCAAGCCCTTTAAGTTAACAAATAACAAGGTTGAATTAAGACATTGAGTTGGTTGTCACACAATTACAAAATTTTTACAAAAACTAGGTTAAGAGACAAGTATTGTCACAGCAGCACATTATGTTGAATATTTTAAAATGTATTACATTACATATGTTAAATCTTAACGTTTACGACAACGCTCAGTTGGGTTCAGGTGTAGAAAACATGAGTCATTATGCAAATCGGCATAAAAACGGAAAAAGAATCAAATGCAGTGATCGAATTTCGTCCGCTGCGCACTCCGCCCAGCCTTACACAAAACAACGATTGTTGCTGACTTTTTTTAATCGAAGTAGTTCGTCTCAAGCGTTGCCCACCGCCATATAATGCAAATTATCCAATCGCTTTCACTACAAACCCGAAAAAATCAACCGAGCAAATTGCACCACGCCTCGATAAGAGATTTCTTTCGACAAACCGCGATGCATTGACACAAGTGTTATTTAACATTATTTAATCGCGGTGAAAATATTACGCTTGTAATTGATTTCGTGCATTGTTCTGCATGCGCGGATTCGCGCATTACGTTACTCAAACCGCCGCCATCTTAAGTGAGATGATGTTGTGGTAAAATAAAATCATCAATTAATGTGTAATTAGACTCAGACTGTCGGCGGGTTTGATGTTTCATGATGCGTTGTCATGTCATGACGCTGAAATTAAGATTTCTTCATGGCAATTTGTTTCTTTCAGTTGGAAAACCCATTTCGATGCAATATGGAGTCTTAATAGGAAACACATGGACCTGGTATTCACAGAATGACTGCATTTGTTTTAATAAATTGCATAAAATGACGCAAATTGATACATTTACGTCAATTTAATTGGTGGGTTTTCAGCTTCCAAAAGATATTTCAGCACGATATGGATTAATTTACAAATGTAAAGGAAACTGTCATTTTGAGGTCAGCTACCTGCGTTTTAACCAAACAAAATATAAACAATTAAACAATGTGATTAATCATCATTCTTACTTAATTAAACATTAATAGTAAATTAAAACTCCTGACGCATTAATTGTATTATTTATGAGTTATATTACACACACTTGTTTGACTAAACTATATTTCGTTATAACAAGTTCTTTGACGATTAAACGCAGTTAATGTGAAATAATTATGACTCTGTTGATGTTAGGTTAAGATAGGTTATGTCCTTGTCATAAATTGATAATGTTTTATCTGCAAATGTGGTTAAAATATATTTAAGAACAGTTCATGCTGTGTAGTCCAACACTGATTAAGCGCTCTTCATTTAATGGGTGCGTGTGAGTCATCGCCACAAAATATTACAATCCACGCTGAAGAAATGCGCCGAATACGCCGAAATCGACTTGAGTCGGTCTGGCGCGGCGCGCATGGGCGTCTCTTGCGATGCACACATGGCGGCGGCACGCTTACGAATTTATTTATAAATTTGAAGCGATTTTCGCAAGTCGCCGGGCGCGCATATCGTGAGGAGCACTCTTCATCGAATGAGTCATCAGGCCATTGACGAATTTATCGTTTTCTCGAGCAAGTTACTCAAATAAAAGTAAATTGCAGTGATGCATTTAAAAAACAAACACAATTTTTCTATGAATTCAATCTAGTTGAATCATTTTATTAGAATATGAATTAGAAATACATAAATACGATCCTGTAAAATTAAGGGCAGCTGGTGGTGCATCGTTGCATTCTTTGCCGTTTACGCATTTTATTTGGATTAATCATCCGCTTGCTATGCACATTGTTCGCACGTGTTTGGCGGCGGCGTCAAATCAATCGAAAAAGTTTGTGAACTGAATTTATGGACACGCCATAACCACCACAAGACGTTTTAATCACCCCGATGACTAATGTATCATCAAATATTTTAAACCTACTATAACTCTTACTATAGCAATTATTTCCGACGTCGTAAATCACCGAACGTGATTTTTTTGCATAAACTAATGTAATCTGAAGATAAACCCATTGTTTTAATTTATTGATGACTTGTTCTTGTGGTTCCGGGACTGTCCATTGATGTATTGATTACTGCTTAAAACTGTTTGTTTGAATATTAAGGATTTCAGTGAAAATTCACTTTAGTAATTGTAGAATCCAATTTTAAGTTCCTGTTAAGTTTGTAAATTGCAATGGTCATTAATTTTAATCACGCATAGCGTGTGTAACCTTTTTCGTTTTGTACGGAAGCAAATGCGATCGGTGACACTCGCCGAAAATATTTCTATTCACGTGGAGGCGCAGATGAATCCACTTCCGACCGATATCGACTTGGCGAGTCGTCTTCCCAATACGAAACACTGTGATTATGTATTAATTTCGGCGGAACCAAAACGCAACCGAAGACATTGAACACGACGCACGTGTCTTGCATTGTTTTATTAGAAATACCTATATCTAAACACATTGTAATGTACGTCTAATGTAAATGTTAGACAAGAACAACTTATTTAAATTGTAATATATTTTAAACTATTAAAATTTTTATTTTATTTTGGTCGTTGAAATATGCTGAAAAATTGTCTATTTTTCCTACCAAAGGGCCAGAAAGGACGGTTAGCGTAAATAGTTTAAAAGTTTAATTTTGCACACTGAATTATCCCTTTTTAACTCATTTTATTAATTTCAAGACTTTAGTAACATTTAATTCTATATTATTTTGTGGTTATTTTAAATATTTTTCACCTTGTTTCTTTAGGTTACTCACGTACAATTTCCAAGACCAAACTTTCATGCCACAATTATGGAATTAACACTATATAAAAATTATTTTCAAAAATTATAAGAAAGAAAAACTAAAATGTTTTAAATTGAAAATGTATAGAGAATTTTATATAAAAAAAAACGATTTTATAAAAAAGTTATGAATATATCTCATTTTAAGTAATACCATAAAATACCATATAATAATTTATTTATAATTTTGTAATAAGGCACAAGTGGTGTTATAAAAGATTTAAGATAGCATCCCAAAAATTGTCAAATCATATTTTTGTGATTAAAAATATACAGATGTACAGTGTAAAGTCATTTTTATAATAAAATTATAATCCAATATTTTAATAACGATTTTCTCGATCTAGAGAGAACTGTTTGTTCTTGCGTGTCTCAAATTTCAGTTTAACACACTTTTATTTACCCAAAAAATAATTTCAAATTTCTATTATTTACTTCCCCACAATAAAAAACGATAACAACTATAGTTTAAATATAATTTAAGTTTATGTTGACATTGAACTCGTTTAAAAAGCGTCTCTTAAATACCTGAAACATACATTGGTCTAATTTTTATTGTATCGCACGCACTTGGGTTTTGTTTGCTGAACAAATTTGTTCAATCATGAAAAACCTAGTAAAGTTAGCACACACGCATCAACTGCTTATTCATATGCGTAGATAGATACATAGACACACACTACGTTTACCATTATCCTATGCTGTTTTCTGCTGTTTTCACCAGTGTAGCAACGAAATCGCATGAAATTTAAGCAAATTATCTCTCCATCAATGATATTTATATATTTAACTACTAATAGCATTGTCTGTTCACGATAATAGCGAGGTCGCATCAAATTCCTAACACAGGCATTATATTTATAGCGACATTGTAATTTTCAATTTTTTCTCGTTAAAGCAAAAATATTGTTAGTATTACACTATTTGGAATACTAAATGTATAGATATATATTTGTGATGCAAGCGCTCGATGTTTTGATGTGCGATGAGAAAAATCGAGATTTCACGGAAACGCTGTCCATCGCACACATTCACACACAAATTGTGCTCGCGTGCGATTTTGCCTCCAGCGGCTGCAAAAAAGATGCAACAAACAAATTTGTTCGTGTGAGTGATATTCCACAGAGTACAAAATGCAAATTGAAATAGGTAAGAGATAATTGCATATTGATAAATTAAATGTGCGTTGTTTGCATGCATTGTGTGCTATACCTGCATTATTATGCATTTTTATTTATCTGCGTATTGCTCTATGTCTATGTCGTTACACACGTGCATCGATTGATTAATTTAATTTATTTGTTACAAATCAATTACGTTTACATGTGTTTTGCATTTTGCCAATAGATTTCTAGCAAATTTTTAAATTCAAAATATTGTTGAATTCAATTTTAGTATTATTACTATTAAACTAATTGTATCTTAATATTTTGGAGAAATTTTTATATAAAGATAGGATTTTTTTGTTCCTCGATAGTCCCTTGAGCGTTATAAATAAGTTACGCTATAATTTATTTTGATTATAAAAAGTTAGAGCATTAATACTTACCATCTTTAAATTTCAATTTGGAATAAAAAAAGATGATTTTATTATTTTTAGACAGCAAAAATTACATGATTAAGTTTTTTTTCGCAAAATTTTAGCAACAACTTGGATGTTATGCAGATTAAACGAAATGAACCAAATCGAATTTCTTCGTAACCAGACTTTTCAACCTCACGCTGGTTCGATTCGTGCGCCCCGTTCGATTATTATTATACGCTGCCGACTACCGTCTACTGTAGGTAATAAAAGCGTGGTGGTCGCACGTCGCGACTCAGTACATATCCGCGAGCAGCGGCGTTCGAATCGAAGCCGCGAGACACAACCAACATTTTTAAATCACCAAGAGATTACTCATTTTTAGCGTGTGAATGTGATCATACAGTTGCACGATCTAGAAATATAATTCGAAAAGTCCAAAGTGCGGATGTACTAATTTTTAAACCAGCAAAACAAAAAACTTTTAAATTTTTGGAAAGAAGAAAAAATTAAAATAATTAAAATGTGGCTGAGTGTTATATCGATAGTCCTCGTGAGTTCCTTCGTTCACAATGTCCAAGCGGCACCCATCAATGACAATTCAGCACTAGTAAGTTGTGATAATTTTCCTAGTAATTAGTAATTAACTAAATATACAGACAACAGACAACATAACAACAAAACAATAAATTTGTTAGATTGTGAATAATTGTGTGCATCGCGATTTGATTATAACATTCACTTTTTGTAGTTAGTGAGTGTTTTTAGTCTCCTGTGAGCAATACTAAATCAATTCTTTAACTTCAGTTACGTGTTTTATTGTTTTTATAGTTTCTGTTTGGTTTTTGTCGTTGTTAAACAATTTGCGTTAGAAAATTACACGTATTAGCAACATGTTCAGTCGGTTAAGGTAATAAACCAACATGGAATAATTGAATACTTATAAAAAAAACGTGTAGGTATTATTAAATCACATAAAAACGATAAAACACGATAAACATATATTTGGTATAAATTTATTTGTATTAATTTATTCACTATATGTGTACAAATACAAATAAATCGTGTGCGTGTAATGAGATTTTCATTGATTGTACTTTCTGCACTGAGCGTTTGAACGCGTTGAATATTCAATGGTGGCCGCCATTGGCGCGCACCAACCGAGCCCAAACGTTTTCGGATTTAAATATGTCCATCCATGTGAGACTAAGGGCAAACACAAATCAAACACAATGAATTAGGAACGTGTGTTAATACATAAGCTCCACCTTGTTGCCTTGTCAATACAAAAAAAAAACATTTATTTCATTTCAAACACAATAAGTGTTCATTTCACTAATTCGTGAAATAGCTCATTACCTGCAGTGCGTTGCAAATATCAAATATATGTCAGGTATATATATCTTATCAGATATCATATTATCAGCCGCGAAAAAAAGCGTACGCCAATGTACTTAGCACAGGTACTTGGGGCATCATAGGTTAGGTTAGGTTAAGTTTATAGGTTAAGTTTTATCGATTAGTTGCTGTTTGTAATTTCTTTGAGGCTAAATTTACTTTGTCGTAGACTCTTTGTTAAACACCGGGTAAATTTGCATTGTGAATTATCAGCATTGGGCTTTATTCACTTTGCCAGACACGCGATGAATTCTCATTTGAATTCCGAGGCGCCAAGTACCTAGAATCCCAGAATATGTAAATGCGACTTTGTGAAATTACAAAAGTTGTAACCTCTTAAACTTACATTCAAATGCAAAGTAAATATTTTTAACATTTTAATAGAACAAATTGCGTTAACTTAAAATTTAATGCTCTATTATTCACGATGAATCGTTTAGGTATGTTTATATCTTATCAGATAAGCGTTTATCTAGCGGGTAAACACGCACGCATCTTTGCTCAACTTGACGTTACTACAATTGAATTTCAGCTAGTTTTTGACGCATCACACCATTTTATGATATTTTGTTGATAGTCTAACTGACTCATTGAATGAATAATAAATTTAATATTTATAAGATACCAGATTATCCTACTAGGAATAGGCACATTGATAGGTTATAATCTATAAAATGCTAAAACCATATTAGTCTAATATTAGCCTGTTTGCTCGTGTATGCTGGGTTGCAACCTGTGCAAACAATACATTATCTTCGACAAACATGCAATTTGTAGCATGAAACATTAAATATATGGCAACAGATTCATTTTTGCATACATCTCGTATAAAAATAGCGCATAGAGAGTAATGGAAGTAAAAATAGTCTAGTGAACTTACCTTACCTTGATACATCACACGCAAAACTAATTTATAACTATAATTATCAATGATTCAATATAATTCTTCTAATAACTTTTATTCACAAATGAATACCGGTTTATATATTGTACGTACTTCTCAAATGACTCTTTATTTTATACTCATCACTCAACAGTTGTGATGGACGGTATTTTGAGGTTATGATGTCTTCTAAGTCATTAGAAATGTTACTTTGGCTGATGACGCACTTAAAAATACTATATAATTTCATTCAGTTTTAGCAGAATTCAATAACTATACAATTAATGTAAAATGTATGAATATTATCTGATTAAACTATGAAAAAATTAAAGGAAAGGAAGTGGTTACCAAACTAATATGTCACACAACCAAACGCATTAAGTATTAAAGAATATTTGACCTATAAAAAGCTGGAAATGTTGTAACTGCTAATTATTTGAAGCTTTTAAATTTTTGAGTTTCCATGAACTGCGTTTCCACATTTGTATTAAATTATTTGATATCGGCGTCATTGGTTACAGGTAACGAATTTAATTATATAAACGCGTTTCCGCGCTCGTGAGCGTAATTAAACGAATGCGAGGATGAGCCATCATTTAGCATGCTGGCTCATCCAAATGAATTCGTAATTGTCACCTTCGTTTAATTCACAATTGCAACCATCACGATGGTATACAAAATAATTTAACGAGTTTAGTGATTTTGTAGTGTCGAGCTTAATTTGTTTTGAAGATTTATTAAGATTGATGATGACGCAAAGTACAATCAAACTTACTAACAATGTTATTGTCTTATTACTTATAATATTTTCTCTAATTTACTATGCGTTTGTTGTTGATAGCAAAAGTTAACTGTCAAATCCTTGAAGTTCGATCGGAGCTAGCCAGACCTTGATGAAGGTTGCGATGATTTTTCATCGCGTTGGCTTCCGACAAATGAATGTGATACGAATACAGAAAGCATGTAAATGTAATGATTGCTATTGTTATGATTTAATATATTTTTACTGATTGTATACTTTGGAATGGTAAATATTGTCAGTTTATTCCATGCTGATGAATTTTGCGTATAAATTTGACGTTTGAATGGCAACATTTTTTTGTTGCTGAACTCATGAATTCGCGTGCAATGCATTAGCTCTGGTTAACCTTTGGCGAACAAATGCAATGTCACATTAGATATTAGATCAAATCTCACAGGTTGGACATTTCCTGTGGAAGAGTGATTTGTGATTGTGCGGGTTCAGGGCTACATTATTACGGGTTTTATTTAACAGAATTAACAAACATTTTATTTGTTATATTAAAATTGTATGTTCTACTAGTATACATGTGAAGTCAAAGCATAGGCACATATGCTTGGTGGGTTGAATATAACACACATATTTTTAGTTAACCTATCACAACATAAGCAGAGACGATAAAAATTCTAATCTATATCTACGTTAAATTTGATAAATGTTTTATGATTAATTTATTATTTTGTGTTTTGTTGCCACATTAATACAAATAAAACCAATGAATCAGTCAGTAAGTAATATCGTAACAATAACTCTATAGCCACGTATTTCGCGAGGTCATCAACTAAAGGTCATTAGTTATTAATATGATACTAGTGTATGTACTTAGTCTTGTGTCTTGACGTCTCGACGACGCACAACACACAGTTTCATCTCTTCCGGGCGCACAAAACAATTGTGAACAAAGACTTATATTGGCGTCAAATGAAAAAAAAAACTTCTAATTAAATTTTTACTGTCATTATTATTTATAATCTATTGTCCGCTAGGTGAAAGGGCTTAAATTATAAACGAAATGTTATTTAACATTGAGAAACTTTTAACTTTCAGTGGATAATCTAATTCTTTCACACAATTTAATTAATTAATAATTACTAGGAGGTCCTTCGTAATGTGGCATTTAATAATAACGACGTTGAACTTGACAGAGTGTAATTTTCACACCCGTTTATTTCCTGGCCGGGTAAATACTTGTGAACTCGTAATTTGTTTATCGAATGCTTTCCTTACGTACATAAATTACTTTCCGAGTGGGTTCATGAAAAATGAACGCTTTCGGTATGGGCGCCCGACTCGTAATGGCATTAATGACAATGGCAATGAACCGCGCCAAGACTCAATGTCAACCTGCACGAACAGTGGTCAACCGAAATGTGTAACTCCACACACAGACACAGGGCAATGTTATTTTTATTTTGGTTCATATTGTATTTATATAGTCTAGCGCAATAAAACGCGTTTGCACAAAAGAATCAACGTGGTTCAACTCCATCAGACCATCAAACTCACCGAAATGTACAACTTGTATGAATTATTCATACGACGTGCATTTGTCACCGCATTATAAATATATTGTCGTATTAAAATTAACAATAAAATGTCAATAAATAAAATTTTAGTGGAGTATTGATGACGCATGTGAATTTACGTTTGATGCACACAAAGTTCGTGTTAATCTAACAATTGTTGAGGTGGAAGGTGGAAGTGTAGCCGCAAGATGGAATTTATAAGGCAAACCGCAAATTTGCAAAAATTGAATCATAGCTCCAAACCATAACGCTATGCTGATTTATGTAAATTTGTAAATGGTTGGCGTACGGTAATTCATGCGTAAACTGTGGGCTAATAGTAAAATCGTAGTAATATGTAATATGAGTAGTGTACAACATTGCTAACTTATGAAATGGATATCAGCAAAGTATAGGAGTGTTGACACTGTGCTCACTTAGTAATAATAAAGTAGCGTGTAGGTCAAGGTTGTGGCAAATATCCAACTACAATTAATGTGATTTTTACGTGTGAAGAGAATATATTTATTTCTGACTATATTTTGCAAATATACATTCTTTATTTGTTGTGCCTAATAACATTGAGAGTCAATTTTGTTATAGAGATATTTTTGGACAAGTAATAGAAGGTGATGCAAAAATATAATTTGAAGGGTATAAAATAAGGGATGAAAGTTGGTATCGCAATTAATATTCAATCTCTATACGTTACCATTAAAATTGAACATCGGCGCATAATAAGTTCAAAAACAAGAAAGTAATTAGTTAGATTGCTTCTTATTCAACATGATTCGCGGGCAAATCTAATATTCCATAATTTTTAGTTGTAGTGATGAGTCACAAAAGCAATAAACTAACTACGACAGATATAAAATAAATAATCTAAAATTTCCACTTGAAATGATAAATTGTGACTCATTTTTTAAACAAAATCTCTTGCTACATACATTTTTTTACAGACGTTCTATCGTTATGACTGATTCATCTTGCATACACATAACTTCTGTATTTAATATAACACAAATAGAGGTTCTTAAACATAGCATGCCATGTGTGTTTGTATGTGTTATAAGCAAGATCAAAGCGATGCTGCAAAGTGTAAAGCATTGTTGATTGCTGTGCGTGGAAGCTGTATGACTCGTCACTTGCTCATTTCCTGTGTGCAAACACAACATGAACCGCTAATTCAATTGTAAACTATTCTAAAGCAAACATTTTAAACTAGGCAACTAAATAAACATATTTCGGTGTTGTTTTTATAACCAACTCTTTGATTCCTGTAAATTTATGAATATAAATATATGCAGTTTGTTTGTGATATGTGGCGACGGACGTTGAAGGCCGAAAACAAGATCAGTATGCTTGCGCCCGCCACCCACGCCATAATGACGCCATTAATCGTGAAACACGATGTAAATTGCTTTCCTCAAATGAGTCAGGAACGGCAGGAATATCGCAAAGGTCGACAATCGACGCAGAAGAGACACACAATGCGCCGGCAACGACCGCGGGACATAAAAATGTAATTTTATATGCAGGCGGCGAGAAAAACAATGACTCGGCCTAAAGCAACGCATCGTGTTCACCGCCGCAGTCGCACTTGCATAATAAAAGAAGCAAACGAATAAAAAGAACGCAAACATTCATGATGCGTCGCCGGCTGGAATATCTTCATTTGTTTGTCGGGGCTGTTTGTCCGAATATTGCTAACCTAACCAGAGGAGAGATATTTATTAGGTGCGCCAATGAGATGCGCTGGCACACGGCGGCACCGACACGAAAAATTCCACGTGCGGGGTACGCAAGCAATTGTTAAAATTAAAATTCAAAAGGACGTTTCCGATCGATAAAAACACAAACACCGCGATGGCATGCAACATGCGTGCAAAGGTCAATATTAATGTGTCAACAACCACAAAGAAATTTATTGCTAACACATAGAACACCATTATCTGGAAAACATTTTCACATTACTAAACAGTTGAAAGGGTTGGAAAAAGTAGAACTTGTTAAATTAAAAGGACAATGAGAGGGAAACCTTGACATTGAAAATAGTGTGCTACCTAATTTATTGCGTGCAGTATATAAAAGTATAGAACATTACTATTATCGACTAAACCTACACGACTCACAAAATGGCCGATATTTCATAAGTTGGTTGCGCAAAAATCGTGTCAGTATGTCGCATGTCTACAGATTGACGCAAATGTTTGAAATTCGGTTGTTGCAGATTTGGGTGTTGCATAAATAACAATTTAGAATAAAAATAAATACATATGCTGTGTTATTATTGATTTGATAGCAAAAAACAACGCAATATTAATATTTACCAATAAAACACACACAAAAACATCTAAAAACCATTTATGTATGTTTTATCGATAATCTAAGTATAAAAGTAAGTTATATCTTGGTTGTTTTGCGCCCAAATTATCATTTGTTTATGATAACTTCTTATCTATTTATTAAAACAATGTGACTCATGCAAATAATGATTTTTATGCCATTAATCATATTATTGCCAGATTTCTATACCAATAACAAAAGTAAATATTAAGCATTCAGATAAATTGATATTTTTTATTGTAAACAATTTGGTCGTGAGCACAAGAGATTTTTTTTTTGCATATTTATTGGAATATTTCGCATTGGGTTGGAATGCAGCGATGATGACTATTATTATTATTGGTTATTGAAATTTGAGATCGTGCTATCTTGATGGCTAATCTGCAAAGATGCGCATCATAATAATTCGAAGGTATCCATCCAGGATCTTAAAAGCTTTATTTTGTGAAATGTGACGGCACGCGGCAATAATTCGCACGGAGCGTGCAAAAATAACGATTTAATCATTTCGATCCACACAATTTGTATGCAAATTGGTTAATTATCATTAAAATACTTGTGCTTGACTATTTGTTCAGTATGCATAAATACCAAGTATTTTCTGTTTAAATTCTTTGGTATTTATTTACGTCTCCAATTTCAGGGGTCCAATAATTACTTTTTTGTTAAATTTATTGATTATATTATTATCATACCATAATATGAAATCGATATGTAGACAAATATTTGTCCTGCATTTATACTCTGAATTTTTCGAATTTACACATTTCACCTGCTTGTAATATTATTGTTGGAATCACATTAAACCCACGTGTCATTAAACTACTATTAACATTACTTTTAGTATTGATTTTTAATTAGGTGCTTTTCGTAATAGTTGATAGTTAACCTTGACGAAACAAACTTTAAGAGCTTACAATTGTTTAATAAACAAATTGAACAAATTGATGACTAATTTATTGAAGTGTTGGTGTGTGATATTATCAACAATTAACAGCACACGAATTTTTATGAATGAACACCTAGGACTGACTCATAAGTCGATTACTAAGAAAACAGATTTCTATTAAGCATCATATTACGCACTCATTCATAGACTCACCGTCATGTCTCGCAAAAAAAAAACTTTAAAACTGGTTTTGTTTGGTTTATTGGTGACTCAGCTTTTTTGAATATTATAGTATATATTGGTATTTCTAGCTGAATAAATTTATTAAAATGTATGATTTTTATTTTAGTTATATCTCTCACAATTTGGATACATACCAAAATCAAGATTTAATTCGAGTGCCATTGTGGATCATGATAAATTCTCATCAGCCATTGCAGATTTTCAAAGTTTCGCTGGATTAAACGTCACTGGTGAGTAAAATATTGTTTAAGCGTTTATTTCTGACCAGCATATTGCACTTGGGTATAATGCAATAACAAATGTTACTTAATTCAAATTACTCATAGTGTAATAAACTGACGAGTAGTCATAACTTGTAACTATCAGAATATTAAAAATTGTACACTTGGCGAAATTCATGTGGGTGAAGGTTGCGCTAAACGACGGCGACACAAACAAAGAAATGACAAGTGTTACTCATGCAGTTTACACTTTTATTAATAACTGTTGTTGACTGTTGACAAGCTGACAACCGAGAATGCGGAGCCATGTCTTAATAATTCAACATTGATGTTGATGAAATTATATCAACTCGTTATAATATTGGCAACCAAACATACATCAAATTATGTTTATTGAATGTGAGATTAAATTCATGTGATTTCAGGTTCTTTGGACGATGAAACCGTTCAAACTATGAGTCTTCCCAGGTGTGGTGTACAAGATAAAGTCGGTACAGGAAATGACAAGCGTTCCAAGCGTTATGCGCTGCAAGGCAGCAGATGGAAGGTGAAGGACTTGGTGTTCAAAATTACCAAGTATCCGAAAAAATTAAAGCGCAACGACGTAGATAAAGCCATCCAGACAGCTTTCAATGTTTGGTCAAGGTATACAGACCTCACATTCACGCCGTCAAGCAGGGCGCCATCTTCTAGGGTGCACATCGAAATCCGTTTTGAGGCTGGTGAGCATGGCGATGGTGATCCTTTTGATGGACCAGGCGGTACCTTGGCTCATGCTTATTTCCCGGTTTATGGCGGTGATGCTCATTTTGATGCCGAAGAGATCTGGACTATTGGTGAATATAAGGGAACTAGTCTCCTTCAGGTGGCTTCTCATGAGTTTGGGCATTCTCTTGGTTTGAGCCATTCGGACGTGCGAGAAGCCTTAATGGCACCTTTCTATCGAGGCTATGATCCAAATTTCGATTTGGATGATGATGATGTACAAGCTATACAGGCATTGTACGGTAAGAAAACGCAAAAGACAAGCAAAGGCGGTGGAAGTCCTTCATGGGGCAGTAGTGATGATGATTCGACCAACAGTCCATCGGCACCTGGGCCTACCAGCAATAAATTATGCAAAGATTCCAAAATTGACACTATCTTTAACTCCCATGACGGTAGGACGTTTGTTTTCAAAGGTGATGAATACTATCAATTGACTGAAGATAGTGTCCTGAATGGTTACCCAAAGAAAATTGCTCAAAGCTGGCCAGGGCTCCCAGGAAACATTGATGCTGCCTTTACCTATAAAAACGGAAAGACGTACTTCTTTAAAGGAAAACAATACTGGCGATATGTTGATAGCAAAATGGACGGCAACTATCCCAAGGATATTAGTGTTGGATTTGCTGGTATTCCTGATGACATTGATGCAGCAACAGTCTGGACAGGAAATGGTAAAATATATTTCTACAAAGGTAAATGATATCACACCCGCCTACCAACAAGTTTCTAATATACAAACTATTTTAGGTTCCAAATTCTGGCGATTTGATCCAACACTGCACCCACCTGTAAAGTCCGCTTACCCGAAACCAATCTCCAATTGGCAAGGCCTACCGAACGGTTTGGACGCTGCCTTCAAGGACAAAAATGGCTACACATATTTCTTCAAGGACAACGCATACTACCGCTTCAATGATCGTGCCTTCGCCGTAGAAAACACCAATCCTGCCTTCCCACGTTCCACCGCTCACTGGTGGTTCGGGTGCAAAGAAGCACCACGTGGCACGATAGGTACCCTTGGTTTTATAAGCGAGGCGGATGAGAGCGACGACAGCAACAATTCACCCGGAGACTTCGATAGCTCTTTGGACGCAGGTACTGATCATTTTTCAGGTATCGCTTAACATCGAATTACTAACTACGTATTGTAACCCATTAATGTCGTCTCTCTCCTCCGCCATTCAGCAAAAATAATTGATTAACGAACTAATTAATCGATTAATTGACAATATGTGTATGTATATGTGCATGCTTTTTTTGTTCTGTTTGCTAACCATCTCACCTTACACTCATAATTATTTTTTCACAAAGTACTTATACGAGCACTGATTAATTAATTTAGTATGTAGTTATAGAGCCAATTTACAATGTATAGATATTTTCACTTAGTAGTTGAGTTTCTTTTGTTTTACACGCATCACTAGCATGCTAAAGCTGTATATAAGATGCAAGCTGAAATCAATCTAAAAGTTTGGTTATGGTATAATTTAACCAGATTTTGTAAATAGTTTTACGACGACTTGGTTGGACTAAACGTGGACGTGGATATATTCCAGAGTACAAATACCGTCCAGCCAGCGGACATTAGAATTGCGACACATCACACACTCTTATCCATAATCGACAAGAAGTGCGTTCGTTTGATATGTAGGTTGCAACTCTTTATTTTCTAGTTAGTACGCCCACATACCTAGGATTAAGTTATGAAAAAAATCTGGTTGTGTTTTAATTTGAATTATTTACGTTTTCTAAAAATATTTAATTGGTTTACAAACACTTGGATAAAAATGTAAGTTTTTGCTCGTTGCGTAACAAAATTTCCTCATTTGCTCATATTTGGTGGCGTTCGAAATTTATTAATGAGAATAATCAAAATAATAACAACGAGCTGCTTTGGATGTTGTTTTAAAAATAAAAATTCAATTTCGTTCACTGATCACTTTCATTGCTTATGTTACGTTTTTGAGAAGTCACATAATCTAATTTGATATGATGTGATGTGTTTGTGGTGTATGTTGGAATAGCTTTGTAAGTAATTTTTGTGTGTTGTAGGTATTTATCACGCGGATGGAGCACCCCGTGCACCCGATTCGGGATCTCATCAACTCGCCGCATCGTGTACCCTTACGGCGATCGTATCGTTTTTAGTACTGTTTTTCCTTAAGTCTGCGTAACACATAAAATGGACGGGCGACGACGTCTCGGTTTCGTTTTGTAAACGACTGACTATTTTTAATAATCGTGTGATCTTAACCCAACACACGTTTGTGCACTTTGGTGCCCCAGTCGGGTTTGGACAACTAACGTCAGGTTAATGTGAATGCGAAGGTGAAGATGTGGAAGAAGAAGCTGGCATCTGATACGTATTATGTGATGTAATAAAATGCTCGATTGGGTCCGGGATGCTAAACATGGTGTGTTCGAAAGTATATATTTTTAATACTGCCCGCGGGGGCACGACCAAGTTGTTGCTGTTGTCTCATATGATAGCAAGCAACGATTGATTTGTTAATGACTATTTGTACGACATATTTTTAGTAGGTATTATTAACTCCTGTGTAAATATTAATGAATAAAGAGCGTAAATGAATGCGAGAGCGAGTTTTATTGGGTGGCGGCGCGGTGGAGGTGGCAGGCGGCGGCGCATGAATGGGCCGCTGGCGTTTGGGCGCGACGCGGCCGCCTCAGCATGGGCAGTTGGCCGACGGCGGCGAGAGTGGCAAGACTGGCAGAAGTGAGTGGCGAGTGGCGAGCTGCTGCTGCTACGATCTCACCTGGCCGCGTGGCGAAACGCGTGGCGGCGGCGGAAAGGGCCGAGCGCGGCCGAAGGGGCCCGAGAGGCGGCGGCGGCGCGCGCGGCATGCGGGCACGCACCGGCCGCGGCGGCGAGGTGGCGCGATTGATTCGGGGGCGGCTATCGATCTGTGCGCGTCTGCGCCTGCGTCGGCCCGCGGCGCGGCCGCGACAGTGTCGAGCGAGAGACGGCCGGCACAGCTCGCGCCCGGGCGGGAAGGACTGTGACCACCGAACCTTCTCAAGATGGCGGCCCACCGCGGGAGCGTCTAGTGTGTAGTGCAGTGATGTGATGTGCACCGGCGACGGCGTTGGCGAGCATGCAGCATGAGCGAGGGCTGTGGGGGGCCCGCACGCGGGCGGCCTAGCGGGCCCCGGCACTCGGCCCCGGGGCGTTCGGAGCCGCGAGGGGCACTCCGGCCGCCCGCAGCGATGCTCCCGGCTCCCGTAGCTGCCGACTACCGAGCCGCCACCGCGCCCTGCCCCGCAGAATGCCCCGGGCCCCGCCGGGCCTGTCGCTGCTCCTGATGGCCGCCTTGGCGTTCGCCGCCACCCCGCCGCTCATTCCGGACGAAAAGGACGACAAGCTCAAGCTCATCAATCCCTGGCTATCGGCGTGCGACCTCATGCAGCCCGCCAGCGCGACTGACCTGAAGGGCGCGTGCTCCGACATGTGGAGCCCCGGGCCCTTCTGTCCGCCCTGCCCACCCAGCAACAACAGTACTACTCAGTGCCTTTTAAATTATTTGAAAGAATCGCACAAAGAGGAGGTGTGCAGCGAAGGAGTGAAGCCCGAGGACAGACGGCGCCGGCTGCGGGCGCTCCGGGTGCGCCACTGCTGCGAGCACGCGGTCGACTCGGCCCTGCCCGCGGAGGCGCTCGACGATGCCGCGACGTGCACCCGCATGCTGGACGCCCTCCTGGCGGTGGACGCGTTGGCGGCTCGCATCTCGTGCGAGTTCGCCGAGGTGCTGTACCGCTACGACTGCGGCCAGAAGTACTCCATCAAGCACCAATGCGATGACTGCAAGGTACGCTCCCTACACCCACCACCACCACCCTGACAAGGATTTAGTTAACGACTTTTCGTGTAGATGGATGGCGCGCGAACAAAATTAATACTGTCCGTCGGGCGCGCTCTTTTATTCTTCGTCACGTTGAGACCTCATTTACCTTGTCCCCTTGTCCGCTACGATTTACGAGTGCCCGTCATGTTTATTTGCCTTCTTTTGGCATTGTGCGAAACCAATAAGGATGAAATAATGTGTGGCATAAACTCGAGAGAATATTGTGCAAGTCGACGGGCCTTCACAAAACAACCTAATCCTTTGCTGCAATAACCGCAAATCCGCGCCGTACACAACCTCCAGACAAAAGTAAAATTTGTCCTCGATTTTACGAGAGCTTAACAGCCCGGCCGCAAGCGCCTCTAAGCCTTAATTATTCGAAACATCCGAAAAAATAATTCACTTTAAATAGGACAACAATGAGCAACACGAGGTAGACAAAAATACATAAATTGCAAGAACACCGGCCGCATTTTCAGATTGATTTTCGTCCTTATTTGCAGTTTGCCCTCTTTGCTCGCGTGAGTTTTCGCCGACATCCTTGCCTTTATCGCCAGTTGAGCCTCGCCGCGCCGCTCGACGCGCTTTTATATACCCCCGGAGATTTTTATGGCGTTTAGGACTACGCGACTCTTATTTCGCTTCCCCAGCGGACGCGAAGAGATCAACAAAACCTAATAGCTTTGTAAAGAAAGGTTCTACCTTTTTACTTCGCCATTAAAACACTATTGAAAAGCTCGTTACTTGCGCACAACAACAGAAACCAACCCTAAAAGCGCGTGTGCGATTATCATCGTCGATTTGTTACCCTCGAATCCACAATCAACAATTCCACCCTGCTGTTTTAATGAAAATTTGTCCGAATCATTATTGGACCGGAACGAAACAATTGGAATAATTGAGTGGGGCTTTTTTTCTGCGCTGCAAATTACGCATTTTCACTTTGCGCTAGAAAAAGCATGTGTATGCAAACGGGCAATTGATTGAAGGCTCAACCGAGCCATGCAAACAATTCAACAAGCTTTAGCTCATTATTTATTGTATCTTCGATTGTTAGCCATTTTGTGCGCGTGTAGAAGCGTGCCGTGTCGCACGGCACGTGTATCACAAACGTGTACGATCGACCTCGATTCACAATCGTCGCATTCTCGGAACGAAATAATTTTCAGCAAAGCTTCAAAATAAATATTTACCTTCAATTTTAATAGAAAATATCTTATAAATCTAAAGGACATTTCATTTTCATCGTTGTAAAGATGATTGAGTGAAGGTCCAGGTGTTTCGCGAGTGTCATCGCAGTGTGGCGTGTGACACCATCGAACAATATTATTATAATCCATCGCGTCGCCTCGCAGCGAACACATTTTATCCTTCCGCCGCTTTCTCCGGGAACAGCGCTCTTTGAAAGTTGCGTCGTTCCGTAATCGCGAAGCGCCATAACTCCGAGGACGCCGGGAACCTTTGAACTCATGGAAGCCAAGATGCGCAGGACTCTTGGGTCTATTAAATTCTTTTTAAAATGTGGCTTTATTCAGTAGTTTACTAAGTGAAAATACAACCACGCTCGGAAGTGAGTTTCTTTCAAGTTAAATCATTTCTTTTGTTTTAAGGTTATGTTTCTAGGTTATATAGATAAAATTGTATTACACTTATTAAATCACGTCAGTTAGTTTTTAAAGCATTAAATTTTAGTAACGGAAATTTAAAAATAAATGCCTAATTGCCAAAAAAGAATTTGTAGGTATATATTTCCTCGTTTTCCCTTGTAATTATTGAGAGTATGCGTAAATGTAAAGAGGAAATAACAGAATTAATGACACAAATTGTGGAAATGTTTCAGGTGACAAACGACGGTTGTTCACACACCGCCGAAAAGTCACACCCGCTAATTTCCAAGCGCGATGCGTGATATATCGACTATTAGTCGCGAGCTAAGTAGGATGTTTGTAAGCAGAAGCTGCGGCCCGCAACTTCCGTCAACGATTAGCGCGATCGTTTTCGAATCGGCGTGGCCTGTTTTGCCAGTCATTCGCCGTAAATTGGATAAGTTTAATAGACTTTATAATTTGCACACGGCGTCGCAGTTCGAATGCTGGGATATCACACAAATACATCGACAAACACATACACATCATCATCCTCTTAGCGACTTATAACGTGCCGCCGTCCCGCGCCGCCACTTATTGTATTACACACTCGTACAACTTCGTCGGAGGACTACTCAATTTACGCGCCCCGCAACTTCTTGCGCCTCGCACACAATCGATATCGATATCGGTTGCACTTCTTGCGCGGCTGCTGATATTTTCCTTCAGCCGCGGACAGGCGGGCTAATTACGGACTAATGGAGGTAAATTAATATTAGCTGCCACTCGACGGCGGCGAAAGGTGCGAATCTTCACGACGCAGATTCGCTCAGCGTGTCTTTGCTAATCGTATCACTCGACACTGACGTGTATTAATACCCCTTAAGCACTTATCTGCGCATTAATTTCGCGAACAAGTTTTAACAAGTTCAATATTTTAGATTTCAGACAGCTAATATCAGTATTCGTGCCTCTGATCTAAAAGGTGCATATTTGAGGTTAAGTGGTTTTAAAAATTTTAAGGTTTCTCAATATTTAATGCTATTCAACAGGCATTTGGAACAGTTTCATGGGGAGGCAATTCAAAACGAATTTCACGTTCCACATTCTACGTTCCTAGGTTAAAATTTAAACTGTCTTTTATATACAGCCGTTTGTGGTAACATAATATTAGCATCCACTTTATCATAATTAAGTTATAGATGTAATGTTTACACATTATTCTGGTCTTATAATCTTAATACCGAGATAAAGAAAGAAACGTCGACTGTGAGATAATCTCCTTTGCAATTCGTATATAAAAGTCATAATAGTTTGACGTATTTCAAATGTTTGCCGTGCCGTGTCAAGATAATCTTATCTCGACGCCGTGGTGGATGCGCCCCGAAGTTAATTCGTTTGGCGACACGAGGACGGCTCGCACCTTGATTCAATTAAGCGCTCGCCGCGCGCGACGCCATAACGACAGCACTTGATATCTTATATCCGGCGCGAAGTGGCAAACACGAACGAAGCAGAGTATTATTCTCCGTACGAGCCAATCGAGTTTATCGCGCGCGAAAGCGTACGCATAAAAGCGGAATACCCTAACAACACAATAAAACCGCCGAGCGGCTTATTATGATCGGAACATGGAGGACATAAAGACCGGCGACATGCGTGCTGCGTGGAGTCAGATCCTGACGAAGGACTACTAAACTGGCCGCGATTAATTGGGCGCCCAATGGTCGGGAGCGTCACGCAGATCGACGCTGTTTTATTCTAAACATCGTAAGAATTAAACTTGATTGTTAATCAGGATATTTATTCGAGTTAATGTTTGACGGATAGCCATTGTGGTCTTAAGTGAACACTCGATGATTTTCGGATTCAAGTGGCACTTAAATTCAGCAATTTGTAGTAGATAATGATTATATCATTAGAAAATTATAATTTACCAACATAAAATTAGAATTGTTATTTTTTAGCTAAATTTTTGATAAAATAATATAAATGTTATGGTTTTATTATTATTTGATGTATATTAATCGCAAATTGGTTCGTATGGGAGTAAAACTAGTTTGAAAATGTAGTACAGGTCGGAAGGTTGTACCTGGCGCTCTTCTACGGCCTGCTTTCACCATCCAGCAGCCATCCAGCCTGCCAGTTATCGATCATCCCCTACTTTTCGGCGTCGTTCGCCCTACAAACGCACGCGAGAGTAACCTATTCTCCGGGAAACTCCGGCAGGTCGCGGCAGGATTACGCACACAAGCGTACTCGTGTCAGCAGGATAGTGAAGCAGCGCTACCACCACCACACTCCACCACGCCGGTGGTGCCAAGTGGATGGGAGCACTTGTGGTGGTTTAATCACACTGCAAAAACACGCTGCGATACACGTGCGGCGTAGGTGCGAGACACGGTCGCGAGGCGCGTCGCGAAACGAAACCAGAACGAGAGCAAACCCGATTTAGGTCAACTGAAAAGGTCCCTATTGTCGCGTTTGTGTGCGTTCGTTGTTTTCCGCACTGATGGCCGTATTATTATTGCTACGACCTGCAGCGCGGCATCCTTTCAAAACGGATGCGCTCAGGAGCAGCGTCTCGCACGTCAACTCAACGCGACTCCAACTTACAAACTAGAATGTAAAATTTTACACATTTACAAGCCCAGACACAGAATTAGAAATGTCGATAATCGTTAAGAATTTTATAATTAAATCAAACTCAGATCCAGTGGTACGGCGGTAAACTTTTTCTTTTTCGAGTTGCGGGTTACGCACAAATATCCACCGACGACCAAAGTTTTCTCGAATGCACGCGGACAGTTGTCTGTAAAAGTTCGCTATCTATACGCGAAGGCTTAGTTTTTATTGTCAAGAGATGCAAGAAATCCTAACCTAAAAATCTATCTTTAGAAACACTCTTTCAACGTTTGAATATTCACTAATCGGTTATAATATTTAATTATTTAATGAATGTAATTAAATCATTGTTTTATGTATTATTTGAAATATGCGTGCTAAATATTTGCACTGCAAAAATGTTTTTGTTTTTGAACCGCACACTCTGCAATTCGGTTCAAATATTAATGGAATTTGCGTCCAGTGCAACCCTCGCTTATATCCAACCCACAACAACGGCCTAAAAAAGGTCTGTGTTTGAAAATTTATAATATGTTTGCGTTGTTCTTTTTTTCACCACACACGCGGCTGAATTTGATTAATGACTCGACCATGCGATGCATAAAAAAACTAAACACCACTAAATTAATAGATAGATCATAGTATATAACCTCAATTTGTCAAAATTCAATGATCGATGATTTCAGCTATTACATTTGGTGGGTGGTATGTATCATGGTATCAAACAAGCTCATAAATTTTAATAATTAAACCTTGGTTTAGAGATTTGCTAGTATTTGGGTGTCGGTCGACCCCAAATTCCAATTGATGTTTTACGAGTGGCAATTCGCGTGTAGCAATAAAACAATAGGCACGCACCGCTTCACAAATGTATTCAACGAAGTTAGTTGAGCGGTACACCAATATTGCAATAAATTACGCTAAATGGATTACAGCATAAATGTCCGCTATAGAAAATCGTTTCCATTAATCACAATATAAAGTGCACATCATCGTCGCCTTGGGCGCATGACGGCAGACACGAGTTCCGCCGATAAGAGCAAGTGCAGATTAATGCATCAGATGCTCAAGCGTCTACCCTCAATCGAACACGTTATTTACTGTCACTCAAACCTGTGGACGTTTCCCACCAGCCGCGCAGGTGCGTGCTCCAATTTTCGCTTCAGAAATGAATCATCCACATCATCAGCAGGCATAATGTGTAAAATCCGCGAGTGGTGTATAAGCTCTGAGTGATGCTGATTAAATTGACCGTGTCATTCACAATTCGCTTGCACTTTGTGGGTGTACGGTATATCTGTATTAATCCGGTTCGGTGCCAACAAGTGCGCGTGTCTGGGGCATCGCCTGAAAATGAGTATTTTAGCGACAGTTTTATCATGTGTGTGGGCGTGTGTTGTGGATATATGTTGTACTTACGAACGAGTGTGGACATGTCGCCACACGGTAATATGACGTTATTATGCTTGTGGGAAGTAAATGTTTGCGCGCATCGGCCGGACGAATTGAGGCGGGCGGCGGTGTCGGCGGCGACATCATCGCTGGCCGTGTGCATGGCGTTGTGGGTGACCGCATGTTCTCTCGACTTGGCTTCGTTCCACTTTCCGCCACCGAGCGCAAACTAGACAAATTTCATCATCCCCGTCGCATATCTCGGTGATATTAAGAATTACATGCGATTAACTCATAACCTGACTACCATAGATGAAGCTATTACAAATGGATAACCTACAAAATTTACATTTTAATAAGTTACTGAATTTTTAAATAATTTCATATCAAAATATTGCCTTTCGAGAATTAAAATATTCTCTGTTCAAAGTGCACAGTTAAATTTAAACTTTTATTGCTAGTTTATGTTGTATAAGGGTACTAAGTATCACATTGAACAAGAGCTTGTGTCGAGTTGTACGGTGTGTATTTGGTAACCTATTGTGTTGCTCATAACTGAATTAAAAATTTAAGGTTATGTTTTAAATGAAAAAAATAAGTTAAAGCGCAATGATTGCATTGTTCAAAAGTAGTGACACAATATTTCAATTTAAAAGGTAATAATACAACCATTTTCTCATATAAAAATACAATATATTGATAAGACATGAATGCATTCCAAAAAATCATTTGAAGAAATCAAATTTGTACATTTTTTGCTATTAACTTTTATTCCGGGTATGATGTTGTATTGTGTCATGGATTCCGCACGCTAATTGAATGATACATTCGTCGTTGTATCAATTATCTCGCACCGTATGCCAATGTCTGGCTGCATTGTTCGATTCGACGGCGGGCGTACAAAGGTCGTCATCGGCCATTTAATGAAAGACATTCGCCAGCCGCACCAGTTCGCCAGGTAGACCCACCGTTCTCGGCTCGTCTTTAATTGAATTTTCAATTCGACCAGCGCCGCACCGACTTCATCATTGTCATTCGATTTTGGTCCAATGCATTAGACTTTGTCAATTTGCATATTAACTACATCATATATATTATAATATGATGGGATTCTGTATGGAAATGCAAAAGCATCCAACTCTGATGGGTCAAGTTGATAATGACAATATATTGATGAATTACATGATCAATGAAGTTTTGAATAGTTAGAAACATAAAGTATTCTTATCGCATGCACGTCTTTTCACGTCGGGTATTATTCGCACATTATTCGAGTCCTCGTCGATTGAAGTGGATGTTCGAATGTGGATCGAGGAGCTGGGCACACGCACGCGGAGCGGAAGAGAAAAACACGGTGGTAAAGGCGCGCGGCTGTAACGAAAGGCCGCGCGCTCGCCGCGGCGGGGGCTATCGATTTACGCAAGCAAAGCCGATGCGACCGACTCTGGCTGGCGGCGGCGGCGGCGTCGGCCGCCTGGTGGCGGCGCATTTTGTTTGCGTGCACGCGCCGCGCCGTGTATGTAAAACGACGGCGACAACTTTTCAATATTACTACCTTCCTTCTCTTATTCGTAACCATGGCATCCGTTCCATTGATCAATTTCTGTCATTGTCATATCGCATCTACACAAGCACCGAGTACGTGTAAATGTCGCCTGAGTAAACCTTTCTTCATCCTCTTGGCCAAACGCATTAGGCAATACGGTGGAGTAAATTTGCGTGGTGATCCACTTTTCATTGTGCACGGGACAATAGAAGGTGTCGATTTCGAGAGATGTTGGTTCGTTATTCAGGCAAAAGGCAACAGCGACTCTTTTCTTATTGATGCGCGAGCAAAAATCCAATTAGTGAAGGGAGATTGTGACATCCCCAAGACTGCAAAGCGGATTGATTTAGCCACTTAATTAATGCGGATATTTTCCAATATTAAACCAATTTCGATTATTAAACGTCCCAATGATATTTACTCTGGCAATTAGGTTACACTTTTGCGTTTATGTAGATATTTTTCGTATTTAATTGAATTTTTGGCCAGGAATCTTCATGAAAAGAACAAACGCCCCTAAAAGTATGCAACTTAAAATACACTAAATGTGAAATAACCTTGACAGTTAGGTACGCGTTGTTTTTCCCTGCGGACGGTAAGATGAAGAATTAACTAAAAAATCTAAAATTCCGAAGATAATAAATTGTATCAAAACACCACAAACATTAAAGCCAAAAATAAGTTTTTTGTCGATTGGATGTAAAACACAATTGAAATTTAAGAAAAAAAAGTCGGTGAAGCTGCGAAAATTTGGATTTTTAGCAAAGTCAACGTAAGTTGATGTTTAGATAGACTGAAAAAGTATTTTTATTAAAGTAATTTTTATAATTGAAGAAAATCTATGGTACTAAACAAAAGCAGCTTTTCAAATTGACATACTTTAAACGCAAGCAAGAACTAATATAATTATGAAACCGTAAATGTCTTCTACTCAAGAAAGACGCAAGAAAGCCCCGCGTGCACGAAGTAAATTCGTTTAACGCTAGTGCAAGTCCCTGGGTGCAATCGAAGTGACCGAGAAAAAGTCCTCGCCGGCTCTTCGAGCTGCGCGAAATAAACGATCGAATTCGAGCGAGAGTACGGTGAAGATAATTCAGGCTCGCTTCGGCACTTCACAGATACCTCGCGACCACTTCAGCCGGGGGAGTCCACGCTTTTCGCGTAGCGCGCGTAGTAGTGCTGGCTGGCTGGCTGGCTGGTGGCGGCAGCCTTCGCACGCGACAGCGTGTCCGGAGAAGCACGAACCGGTATTCGGGTCAAAGGATCGATCGGAAAAGTGAACCGCCGATGGGCGCACCAGCTGGCTGGCGGTGGGCGCATGGAAACACGTTGCCCCGTGCGTGTGCACGCTCGGCGAAATCCGGAGACCTTTTAAATCACGCCGAATACGTATACACACACCACCAACACGCGCGACTTTCAAGGACTTTTGCGCCAACGCGCGCGCTGTCTGAATGCGAAGCCGGCGAAAACACACGCTTTCCCTTCCTTTTGGCCGCGCACTTATGCGATTCGCTCCTGCTTTCGCGCGCGCTAAGGACACCAGCCACCGTAAAGTATTTTATGAGTGTTCGAAGATGAGAGGGACACTTTCAAATTCGCGTTCGCACATCATTTCCCCCGCGCGCACGCTCTCTCACCGCGTCTGGGCGAGCAGATTTAGTTTTTACACATAAAATCGTCATTTTATCCTTCCGTGCTAAACTAAACGAAACTTTCTGATGTCGTTAAGTATTCACAACGTGTTTATTTTTTCAGGTGAGTTGCTGCTTTAAACTAACTCAAGGGAGTATTAAATTAAGTTTCGGTTTTCCGTAAGATTCGTTTCTTTGGTAAGTGTTTAAATACATAAAATATACACACTTTAACTTCAACGGTTCTAAATCGAGAAAGAATTATGTTATATAAGGTCACAATGTTGCACATGTTGAGTTGCATTGCAGTGCTTTTGACACTTTGCGTAACATTGAAAAAAGTTCACAACTAAGAAAATGTTTTTATATAATAGTACTGCTTTGTTAACACCAATGGTTAAGTAATAAGACCTTTAATGGTAGCTTTTATATGAATAGTGGTGTGTAAATGTGCCGAATGTATGTTTGGACGATAAGTCGACTAGCGACTCGAATGGGAAGGCCGAATACGCTCGTACTTAACCATGCTTTCCTTTTTGCACTATCTTTAAGAAATGGGTTATGTTTGTCACGCTTCGCTGATCTTAGAAGCATATTTTAGTTTTACGTAATAATATAAGTGGAGGTAGTAGAGTTACAGTACAAAACAAAATTGTTGCAATTTTATGAACTTCGTTACTCAAACTTAGGTTACAAGTATGCTGAGAATTGTATTAAAAACATAAACTTTTCATATTTATCTAATTTAATCGTTTCCAATAAGAAAATGGTCACCGTATGCTAAAATTATTTGATTTGAAACGCTAGAAAAAACCAGCAGATTGCAATACGAGTATTTGTGGATTTTATAAAACTGATTTAACTATTTGAAAAAGTAACTAATTTAATGCTAATTTCGTAAAAAAGTGGAGAGACTTGTAATTACGTAAAAGTACTTTTCGTTGGTAAGTAAAATTCATGCAAGAAAAATTTGTATTCAAGTTAAAATCTTAATAAATCGCTCAGCACGCCACTTGTTCGGCCACACTTCCCGATTTCTTTAATTAATGCAGATCCCTTACTTGTCGTCGTCGTCGTCTTCTTGAAGGGTTAACAGCGCTGCGTTAGCCGTCACGTACCAGCACCGATCGTGGCGGTGGCCTCCGACCCGGCACATTCGTACTCTTCGTCGTCGTCGTCAGCATCGTAACCATCCCCGATGTAGCTTTGTGCCGCCCCCGCGTACGCGCACTCAATAAAAGCGCCATTCCGGGGCAGCTCTCGGCTCGGCCCTTTGCGCTTTGTGTACCGCACCACTCGTGATTATTTATGACGGCGTGGACGACCCTAATGACCTCTTTAATTGCGCATTACGTTGCGCCATGACGCCGCGTCGCTGTCCGCAAGGCTCGCGCGCGATTTGCATATTCGCGTGCGCAACATTTTTCACGCTTTTTATTATATTAACTGCGACAGTTTATTCATTTACCGAAATGGTTGGGATGTGACGGGGCGGTCGGATAAATTCTCGACGGTTTGCGGGCGGGCCGAAACAACCACAGTGCTTATGTTAGATTGAAGTTATGGTCATAAATAAACATAACAACTACATGCCAAGTGCTTCAAAAATTAGTGACATTTTATTGAAAGGCAATTTTATTTTATTGAGTTGATAATTGATAATGGTGACACTTGTGGATTCTTGGCAGCAATTTGGATACCTATTATTTTAAATTTGGGCAAAAACTCGAGTGTTGAAGTCAATTCTATGAAATATTTTATCTTATTTTATGTACCTAAGCATTCGTAAATTTCGTATACTTTGAGTAAAGTTCAACTTTAGATTATTATTCCTGTCGCGCCCCACGGTAATACACCTCCTAGCTCAAACTCAGAGATATCATTTAGAAAAGCATTTAATAAATAAATAGTTTATAGGTACCATAAGTTC